CACACCTTAGTCTCCAGAGACACACTGTTGCTCTTGAGTACTTTAGAGAGGTCCCTAACAGCAGACTTCCCCATTGCAATACATCTTTTAATTTCCTGGCTGCTGGTGCCAAGAGTGTTGATTGTGGAGCCAAGCAGACTAAAGCTGTGAACAATCTCGATCTCTTCACCATCCATCCTGATGCTGCCAATTGGTCCAGTGGTGAGAATCTTTGTCTTCTTGGCTTTGAACCTCAATCCATATTGAAGGCTGCAGTCCCTGACCCTCGGCAGCAAGCGCTTCGGGTCCTCATCAGTTTCAGCAAGCAGGGTTGTGTCATCTGCATAATGCAGATTGTTGATAGATCTTCCACCAATCCTGATGCCACATTTCTCCTCATAGAGCCCAGCCTCCCAGATGATCTGTTCTGCATACAGGTTGAAAAGGTATGGAGATAGGACACATCCCTGGCGTACACCCTTCCCAATTTTGAACCATGTAGTGTTTCCTTGCTCTGTTCTGATGACTGCCTCTTGGTTCAAGTATAAGTTTAGCATTAGCACGATCAAGTGTTGTTCTGGGATTCCCATTTTTCTCAGAGTCAGCCACAGTTTGTTACGGTCCACACAGTCAAACATCTTTGTATAATTAATGAAGCACAGATAGACATTCCTCTGGTACTCCCTGCTTTCAGCCAAGATCCATCTGACACTAGCTACAATATCCCTAGTATCATGACCCCTTCTAAATCCAGCCTGGACTTCTGGCAGTTCTCTGCTGATGTGCCGTTCCAGTTGTTTTTGGATAATCTTCAGTAGAATCTTGCTTGCATGTGAAATCAGCTATATTGTTCTATAGTTTCCACACTCTGTTGGGTCACCTTTCTTTGGAATGGGAACAAATATAGATCTCTTCCAGTCAGTTGACCAAGTGGTTGCTCTCCAGATTTCTTGACACAACTTGGTGAGCACGTCCAGGGCAGCATCTGTTAGCTGAAATATGTCTATTGGCATACCATCTATTAATGATCGTTTACTTTGAAATGCTGTAAAATGCTTTTCTGCAAAAAAAAAATGGTTTTCTGCAAATCTAGAATGTTTTATACTACAGTGTTGGTAGGTGGGGGAGGTAATCTATCTTTAAAAGAAGTATAGCCTGGTGGCACAGTGGTTAAGTGATAAACTGTTAACAAAAAGGTTGGTGATTTGAAACCCCCAATCCCACATGGACAAAGATATGACAGTCTATTTCCATAAAGATTACAGGCTTAGAAACATTACAGGTCAATTCTGAAATGTTGTGTATGATGTCTATTAGGTGGAATGAACTTGTCTGCAGTGGATATGGGGATGTTTCTTCCATGGGAAATGGGTTTTGATCTTTAAAGGCTTATTTTATGTTTTCTGAATTTTGGGGAACCTTTCTAGACATCTTTAATTATTCTTTGTAGCCTATTTATTCCTGCATATTCCTGGAAATTCCTTTTCATGGCACTGGTTGGTATTTGGAATGGGAAGGTTATTTTAGACAGCAGATTCCTTGTGGAGAGAGGAGATAAACTAATTTTGACAGTAACTTCATTGAATTATTTATCTCATTTAAGTAGCATGCATTGTGTGCTCAGTTGACTGTCTTGTGGGTACTCAGGACCCACTCCCAGGTACATCAGTGATGGTGCCTGTGAACTACCAGTCTGTGTTTGGGAAATTCAACACCTTAGCAACATGATTCACATCCAGATCTGTGGACTATGTAGACCACTTACCTGATTTGGAGGACAGTGCTGTAGGAACTAGAATTAGGGCTTAGCATGACCTATCCTTAGGAAATCTGGTTGCCCAGTGGTAAGAAGCTACACTGCAATTCCAAATGCATTCTATTTGAATCCTCCAGGTGCTCCATGGGAGAAGAATGGGCAGTTTCCTCCCTTGTGATTCCCTGTCTTTGAAAACCTACTAGAGGGTCAGGTAGGAGTCAGTTCTGACTCCACAGCACACAGCATGTCCTATCACAGTCATTGCCATGGATCCAGTTAGAACCTAATCAGTCCAGCATATTCATTTCCTTGATGAATAAACTATCTCTTCCATTAATTCATAATGTTAATATTTTTAATTTAACAGTCATGTATATTTGATGTTTCAATTATTTAAAACAATTTTACCTATATAACAGGCTAGCCTGTTTTTCCAATTTAAAAAGTATGAGGAAATAATTGATTTAGACTTTTGATAATTGTTTGGGGTTTTTAAAAAACAGTGTAGATATTTTAAGAGACTTCAGTTTCTAAGAATTTTTTAATGAAAGTTAAATCAGTTAACTCTAGTATTGAAAAGAAGTAAATATATTAAAATACAGTTCTGAATGTGTTATGGGGTTTAATAAGGTTTATAGAATGTACCAAACAATCAAAAGTAACTGAAGAATGTGCTGATTCATAGTGAGAATTATCTAAGTTCAGTTTAAAATGTAAAAGTGAACTAGGATTTTTTAAATGACTTAAATATAATTTTAAAAGCCAAGCAAACCTGAATGGTATTTTCTGTGCACAGAGCCACTTTTGTGATTATTTTAGAACATCATATGAAATAAGGTGACACTTGTAGATCATAGTAGACATTCAGTGTGTTAAATTTGAATCCGCAGAATTCCTTATGGCTAGGCAAGAGAAAACACACGGGAACTTCAAATGAATTATTACTTATAGTTTGAAAGATAGCATAAAAGAACATACATTTTTCAAAAAAAATGTACATAGATTTTGAAGGGTAATTTTGATAATAAGGTTTATGGTAAGATTGCAGTGAAAGTTCATCCCCAGCAGGTAGTAAGTACTCAGTAAAGACTAGTTTTATAGTAATTTTTAGAACTATTTAGATAATCTAAGTGGAATATTGGCTGGGTTGTGCATTAACTCCTAAAAGTATCATTTGCATAGACCACCTGCTATGCAGTCACATGTGACTTTTCAGGATATTGATTTCATTCATTCACCCAAATGCCATAGGAAATGGGAAATTAGTTATGTATGCTGTGTGTCATATACATCACACTCCTCTTGTCTGCTTAAACAGAAAATGAGCAAAAATGGGAGCAGGAGACATTTCTACTATCTGGATTGAGGTTCAGGTGAAATTGCATGCAACACAGAGCCCTAGATGTATTGCTTCTTGGCCACTCAAACAGCTCTGAGCTCCATGCATAGCTAGGCCGAGCTAGAGGATGCTTGGCTCGTCTGCAGACATTGTCATTTAGGTCTGACTCCTGGTAATTAGGCACTCCTGAAGGGACTCTGCTGTTAGCGAGCCTTTGAGACAAATTGCAAAATCTGTACAGCCATCAGAGAGATGCATGAGTAGACCCGATGACACTACAGGAGATATTGGTGGTTCTTAAAAGTTTGAAAGCCAATGCTTAGAGAAACAATCCTCAAAACAGAATTCAGAAGTTCTTTTCTTATTGTTAAAGAGTAAATTCAGTCACAGAATTGGGACCTGAGAAGATGCTGACATGCTGGAATATTTCTAGTGGCTGTGTCATTCAGTGATCTTGTGTGAGTGTTGCAAACACTTGAGAACTAAGGCAGCGTTCTTGCCCTCTTTGAGTTGTAGTTATATGGATTCCATTTAAGGCAATAAACACAAATTATACAAATAACTATACAGATATAGTTATAATTTAGATGGTATTAGGAAGGCAAGCTGTGGGTTTTTTTTTTTTTTTTTTTTTTTGCAAGCTGTGGTTTGTGCTGCTGTGAGATTGTACAATGAGGAAACTCAACCAGGCTGGTTAGAAAAGACTTCCCTGAAGGAAGAGATGACATTAAATGAGGTCTTGAAGAATAAATGTGAGTTCTGTCAGAGAGCACATTAATGAATAACACAACAGACTTCATTCTTGTTCTTGCCTCAAGAGTTCTGATTAGATAGAGATCATTTAAAGCTAGCCAAGGGCAGTATTATGAAATAGAGGTTATATAGAAGGACCTCTGATGATGCTGGACATTACATGCTGGGCTACTACCTGAAAGGTCAGTGGTTTGAATCCAGAAGCTACTCCATAAGAGAAAAAGGCAGTTTACTCTGATAATGATTTACAGCCTCATAAATCTGATGGAGAGAGAGTCAGAATCTACTCAATGACAATGGAAAAGTGGAATATATAAAAATTAAGTACTTAATGTTAAAGCAAGTTGATGTTACATGTATGACCAGCTTCGAGCACCCATGTCTCATATGGGTAGATTTTTTTTTACTTTATGTGACATATTAGTAATGCATTTCCTCACTTCATCTTAAAGGATACATTTACCCCATTATGCCATGGTTCTTTAAAGTCAGATTCTTTCTGGGCTGAGCAGAGTGTCGGGAGTTTGGTTTCTACTTGGAGTCACTTTCTTTCCCTAAAAGATTATAAAGCTCTGAGAGGTTGAATCTTCCCTCTACACATCTCTCACCCATAGTCCTGTCACTGATGAAGTCTTGTATGCAATTCATTACTGGTGTGCCTTTAGGGAGGGCATCTGCATTTATACTGTTAACTTCTTATATATAGTTGTAGGGCCTTCCATGGCCTCAGTACTTCATCCTCTTGTGGGTATTTGAATTCTCACTGAACTGTAGTAACCTGGAGAAAATGAATTTGAGGAATAAAAGACTGGAACAGAATTGGCCTCATTTACTCCTGGATGATCTCTTTCTTGTATTTGATGCATACACAAGTGACCACACATTTAGCTGCAAGCATACAAACAAACAGGCACCAATTTATGGCACAGGTTTCTGTCTACATTTATTCCATCCATCCAAGCTGAAACTTAAATGCCCTTCATCCTAATTTCCTTTAGTAAGGTGTTTTTTTCCCCATATAAATGTACTTTATTCTTTTTTCTCTTGTAAAGAAACTGACAACTATAATCTTAAGATTCTTGAGTTTTGAATACTGTGCTTATTAGCTTTCAGGGTTAGTCTGTTGTGACTTTTTAAGTAACCCACTTTATTTTGAATTCTTTTTTCTTCCAGGTAGGAATGAATTGATAGCCAGATACATCAAACTCAGGACAGGGAAGACGAGAACCAGAAAGCAGGTAAAAGAGCTCGCCTAGACATTATTGCATGTCAGCGAATGGCCCAAGGAGGCGTTTGGCTGCAGTGACTGGCTGTGCTTGGGCTCCTCAGAGCCCCCACTTTTGGTTCCCTGTGAAGACGCCAGTGCTTTAGGTGTTTTCAATTGGCTCATGTTTCACCGTTCATCATTTCAGTGACCCTTTATCATGTGGTCTCCCAAGTTCAGACTGGCAGGTTTCACTTTCAAGGACAGTGTATGAACTGTTCCCATATTATTGTGCAAACATATGTGGGGATTTTTTCCCCTCAAAACGGGACACCAGTAAACATTGCAAAGGCTGCAGGTGCAAATATACTTGCAAACTCTGAAATGGCAAGCTCCTGCACATTGTAAAAACCCCAGAATGATGACTTACTAGTCATCACTTCAATGTAAAAATAACAGAAAAATAACAGAGCAGCCTGAGTCTCAGCCTAACTATAATACTGAATGATGTGCGTCCAGGGAACTGTTGCTCCTTAAGCTATTGCTTTTTGTCAGTAGCTGCTGTGATTGCGATGAAGTTACAAATTCACCACCTTTGTGTCCAGTAGTATTAGGAATTTTCCTCTGCTCTTTGACAAAGCACCGCCTGCCCTGGTTCTTTAAGATGTAAAGTAGCACAAATCTTGGAGGTGACCTAGTTCAGAACTGAGGTATTTAACAAAAAAAAAAAAAATCAAATGAGGGGGGTAATTTAAAAGGCAACTGCCTCATAGGTGAGTTGTTACAGAAAAAAAAATTTTTTTTCCATGTTAATTTCTGCTGGATGATCTGGAATAGATCCTAAACATGTACTTATAATCAAACCATAAGGCATTGTAAACTGGGGTCTCCTTTAAGCCTGAGCAGCAGATTCCAGTTCTCATTCTGGTGAATTGTTTCCATGAGTGCTCATGAAGGGGAGAGAGGCCTTTCTCCAGGAATGCTACCTGTATCACAGCCAGGAGAGCCCGGTGGTGCTGAGTCAGCGCAAAGGATGGGGGGGCGGGGGTTTCCGCCAGTGTACAGAGGCTGGTCTTGGTCTGTTTGGGGGTTATCCCTCTGAAAGTGGCCCTCACCACTTCCAGGAAACCAATAAAAACAAAATCTGAATGAAAAGATATAAAAGCCAAGAGCTAGAGGTAGTGGTGAGACAGAAGAGGGAACAATCCCTGCTTCTTGGTGCCTTAAAAAAAAAAAAAGTCCAGAAGCAAATTGAAGAAAAAAATTTAGTACGTGAAACTCAGTGACAAAGATGGAAGGGTCTTTTACTATCATACATCCTGTTTGTAGAGTTGCTTGCTGGCTGCTTGAAATGGAGTCACCACCACACAGTCTGAGTCACTGAACTTTTAAATGACAGACTGAATTTCTGCAATGGATGGATCTGATTCCTACATACAGAAAGTGCTGGTCTGGAGCTGTGTTCTTGCCTGAGAGTGCAGGTCATTCACCCACCCCTTCACTGGGGCATCTTCTAAATTTAACCTAAGTCCTGGCCAGCTGAAAGAGATATGAATTTGTTTAGGTAGTAGAATCAGTGTGCTGCAGCAGCCCGGCTTGGCTTTGCTTCCACACCCAGCGTCCTGGGGATGTTTTGAGGCAGCAGTTGGTGATACCTCTCCAATGTGAATTTGTTGTTGAGCAAATCCTTGTGGTTTTCAACCCAGATTTTTAACAGGCTGGCTGGCTGGCTGTATTCACACATTTTGCTTTGTAATAATATGCAAATCCACTTGGCACCCAGTCAATACCCAAAAGAGTGAAAGGATTAAAGATATTTATAAGGGGGAAAAAATAAAAAAGCTTTGCTAACTGGGACTTTGTATTTCTCTTTGAGATCTAATTTACATGTCAGTATTATTTTAACATTTGCTACAGAATCCAGAGCTCTTAATGAGATCAGAATACAACCGACAGCGTCAGCTTTTTGATTCTGCAAAATGTGCTAATTTATGGATAGTTCAAAAACCCAAACCCGATTCAGATTTTCAGTGACCCTGTAAGACAGAGTAGAACTTCCCCCGTAGGACTTCCAAGGCTATACTTTTTTTTTTTTTTTTTTTTGAGGAGTCCTATTGCTACATCTTTCTCCCTAAAGAGTGGCTGGAGTTTTGAACCACTGATCATTTGGTTAGCAGCTGGGTGCTTTCACCACTGCACCACGAGCGGTTCTAATTTAAAGATGGTCTCTCCTAAACGGAGAGAAAGCGGTCTTACTCCTCCTGATACTGAGAGACTCTAAGGATTTTCACTTCTCCCTACCCTGACCTTTTTAATGTTAAAAAGAAAACCACCCCCAGTCTCTCACTCGCAGAACTAGTTTTCGTGATTTTTCCGGAGTGAGAACACAAATTAGCCTGCATTTCTCCCCTCCATTAAGTCACTGCAGTGATGACCCAGTCTGAAAAGCTTCCTTAGAGCAGCGCTGGGGCTTGGTGTCTGGCTGGGACTGTGTATTCCTAACTGCAGAGCTTTGTTGAGATGCAAATAACCTCCCCCCCCACCCCCACCCTGAACCTCTCCCAAGGAGTAGCGATTTTATATTTGATTTCCTTTTTTTGTTTTGTTTTGTTTTGTTTTGTTTCCCCTCATAAACCCGCACAATGTAGGTGTCTAGTCATATACAGGTCTTAGCAAGAAAGAAAGTTCGAGAAATTCAAGCCGCCATTAAGGTACGTCTGGCTTGCCCAGTTGTAGGGGGCTTTTCATCTCCATGGTTACAGGCTTTTCCTTTGTTTCCCTCCCTTCCCCTACCCTGCAGGTGTCTAGTCACATTCAGGTTCTTGCCAGAAGGAAATCTCGTGATTTTCATTCCAAGCTAAAGGTATGCGCTTTCCTGCTTTTTGGCTTGTGGTTGCTATGCATCTCACTTCCTGTTTTCCATGGTGACTGGTGAATGCCTGGTGCTGGGATCCTTGTAACCTAGTTTCCTCGCATGTGAGAGCTGTTTACATTTCTTTGTGTCTAATCTCTCAGTTTCTGTACTAGCCTCACATTAAACTCAGAGAGTGTGTGTGCGCCAGAGCGCGTGTGTGTTCCTAATAACAATGCAAATGCAGCAGAGAGCTGGTCTTGATAACTTTTCAGCCCAGAACCCTGATATTTTTTATTTTTTTACCCTACATTTGCCCACCAAGCAGCTCAAGGACCAGAGAGGAAAAAAGTTTAAAAAGGCGCAGTTGATGCAAAAAATTATTTAAAAAGAGGAATTCTTTCCGATGTCCTGAAGTTACTTTTTAAAAATACTGAGAAATAATGCATGCTTTTGAAGCGTTTCCACAAATCTTTATGAAAAATAGATCTTTCCAGTACAAAGTACTTTGGGCCATATTTCTTTGACATTGCTTAATAATTTCTTTTTTAAATGAGTGGCTCTGTTAATAAAAAAAAAAGAAATGTGAGGTGTGACTGTAAAAATAAAAAAATGCATTTTCGAGATAGAAAAGTACTTGATCAAGCCCCTATTTACAATTCAGTTTACACTGAGTTTAATTCTTCTACAGCACCTCATTTTCTAATCTAATTTCCTTGCTTTCTTCTTTCCCAGAAATTGAAGTAAAGAATAGGACATTTTTCTCCTCATAATGTCTTTTTGTTTTAGAAATGGAAAGACATTTTTGTTTGCCTGGAAAAGGTTAATTTATAACAAAAATGATTTTGAATCCCATGTTAGTGCCATAACTATGGGCTTTATTTGGTTTGGTTTTATTCTGATTTTTGCCATACGTTAATTTATTTTTGTTCGAGAAGTATAATTTTCACAGCATTGAGGGGTGATCACTGGGACTCTTCCCAAAGTCCTCTGATATTTTTTTAAATGCAGACAAGGCTGGCTGTGGAACAGGACTAGAGGCTAGAAAGGGCATTTGGTGGTGTTCCCTCTGCAGTGGGCTGGCTCGCTCGCACGTGTGGCTGATGGTGGCTGGCTTTTAGCTGCACTGGCTGAGCAGTTGGAAGACTAAGATAACTGATAGATCTGCTTTTTAACCAAAGGTGCAGCCTCCTCTATGTGGATGTAACTACCCCAGTGTTTGCTGAAGTTCTGACTCTGTTTCTAGTTTCTCTGAGCTAACGAATTAATGATGTGAAAAGTTTACAGACATCAATTTTGTGTTCCCATCTGAGATGCTCTGAACTGCTCTGCTTCTTCGTTTAGTGTGGTTCTGTCGGCTCACCAGAGCACAGAGCCCTCCATTGAGAGCCCTGCCAACAAAACTCTCCCCTTGAGAAGAGATCCCCACACACAATGTAACATGTACCTTTATTAATTCCCGTTCCTGGTGATTTTAAGAATCAAGTGAAACAAGTTTGCTGTTGTAATGCTCCTTTATACATATACACAAACACAGCTATGTTTGTTTGATACTTTTTAAAGAGTCCTGTCTTCCACCTGCCACCCTCCCGGTCTCCCACCCCCATTTTCAGAGCTGGCTCCTTCTCCTGTGGAGGAAGCAACCGGAGGCAGAAGTAGAGGCAGTAGGGTAGCAACTGACTCAGCAATTAGACTCCAAGAAAAACTACTTGTCTTGTCGCTCTTTCCTTCTTTGCTATCACATTGATCTTGGGAAGTTGGACGACTTTGTCTTTTTCAGTGCACTAATATTGAGTATCCTAGGCATGAGGCTCATCTTGGTGGGCAGTTAACATGCAGCCCTGCACTCACAGAGCTGGCAGTATAAACAAGAATATGAGACATAGAGTACAGTGGGATGAGCGTGAGCAAGTTGAACTGGAATAAGATGAAGACGGAACTTTCTGAATAGATTTGAACTGAAAAGCGGGAGTTAGCCTGTCTGGCATACAAGGCCATTACGAAGTAAATTCTGTTATGCTGATTTTGAGGAATAATGTAAGGAAACTGGGTTTCAGTGAGTTTAGTTGAGTTACCAGATGCCACAAAGCTTAGAAAGTGATAAAGTCAGGAGGTGAACCAGAGCTCTTTGAGAGGTTCATCTTTTGGAGCTGGGAAAATGATCTTCATCAGAAGGCTTCATGCCACTGTGTGGTCTTACCTGTCACCTCTCATATTTCTTGGAGCTAGACCAGCAGCCCTCCACTCCATATCCATTTTAGAAAGGAGATGTATTTTTTAATGTTGAACTTTTGGTCAAAATGTAGGTTCATTCCCGAGGTAATCATCAGTAGCTCAAGGGTGGTAGGTCTTGGGTGCTGAGTAACCAGCTGTTGCTTGGGAATGGGCTCAGTCAGGTCTGTTCATGTCTGTTGGTTTTGTAGGATAGGTGGATTCATCCAGCATCTAGTTCAGCTGTGGAGTCTTGCAGCTTGGTGAGGGGCCGGAGACCAGCATCCTTTGACCAAATTTGGGATGGGATAAAAAAGCCAGTCTTTTCGGCTTTCACATTAATGTGATAAACATTACTATATAGTAAGGGGACGTGAGCCAAAGAACCAAGAAGGGAAGCTGCTTGGAGAGCAACATCTGTAGGGGTGGCAGGATGTATCCATACTTGAAAGAGACCCTGACTTGTGCCTGAGAAGACATATGTAGGAAGGATTCTGAGAGAAGGTGGTAGTGATTGAACTTCTCATCTTCTGCCCTTAAGAGGCATTAAGTCAGCTAGGCAGCTTGCCACCTTGTACCTACTTAGAATCAAGAAAAATATACTTGGAGGTGAAGACTTATGGTCCTCTTGTTGCATTTCCCTTTGTTCCCCCAAAGTTTTAAAAAGTGCTTTGCTCAGAATGTAGGCAGGTATAGCTCCCGTGTGAGCCCTGTCACCTTGAATACGGTCTTTACTGCTAAGAGAAGGTGCAAAACAAGATTCTTTAGGCCAGTTGTAGACTTTTTGTATGCAACAAAACTCATATTCCATATTGAACTCTTACTTGAGACTTTGAATATATAAAGGAACAAAAGCTATTTGCATTGATGCTTACCCTCTGATAGCCACACTGCCTTAGGCAGAAGGCAAAGAAGATGCCTATGAGCTGTCAAGCTCTTTCTCCCTGATCTTGCAGAACACTTCAAGTATCCCATTTCAAGAGTATTTTCTCAATTTGGGAGCCTGTGCTTTATTTACCTTATTCTTCTGAAGACAGCAGACAAAAGAGAAGGGTCATTCTTGTGTGACATTTAGAGATGAGTCATCTAACTGTAGAAATCACTCTCTTGAAAGTGTCTTAAACTAAATTCCAGAGGTCAGCTTTATGCTTTTGCTGCCAAGAGTTCCAAATTCACCATGGTTTACCAGTGCTGACTTAAGAATAGATCACCCTAAAAAGTGTGGCTTTTCATTTTAATAAAAATCCCACTTTTTCACACAGATTTGAACTTTAAAAGCACCAAAATCGTGATTTCAGTCAGTTCAGTAAAGTTTTCATTGAAAATCTCGTGTGTTCCAGATGTTAAACATACAGAATTAAATTAACAGAGTCTTTATACTTGAGGAAAGGTAAGCTTTTTTGTTACGTTCATCCTGGTGTCTGGGAAAAATACATTCTTTCCAGTAGGCCATCCTAGCTATGGGCTCAATAGCAGAAATAAGGAAATACTGCAAAAGAATGTTAATTTTGCATATGGGAGAATTTAAGAACACTTCATGGAGGAGACCCAAGCCTAGAAGAAGGCAGAGAATTTCTCCTAAAGGTGTGGGGTGCATGGAAGGAGCATGATGGACAGCGGGTAATTGGAGGTATAGGATGGGAAATGAGGAGACCAGAGGAGTCTTGGAGTGATGAGATTAAGGAGTGATGATAGATCTGTAGACAGTAGGATGCACATGGACATTCCAGCTTACAATTTAGGGACCTCCCTGCAGCCATTATGTACAGTTAAGAGAGACAAAGCTAGAGGAAAGTTGGTAATTCAGAGACAGCTGTGAGAGTGTATGTGAGGGACTGGACGAGGGGCTGACTACCCAGGAAATAAAGATGGCAGTGGTCTTTATTACCATGCTTGCCTGGCTGCCCCATTCAGGGCTATTCTCTACCCTGTACCTGTTCTCTCTCAGTTTTTAAAGAGTAAATTCATCTAAGTGTTCTATTCTTATTAAAGCAGAAAAGTAGTATGTTATTGTTGTGTGTGCTGTCATGTCAGAACCAACTTATAACTGATCCTCCCGTGGGTTTTCAGAGGCTGATGATTGCACAGGAGGAGATTACTCCTCTTTCTCTTGCAGAGCAGCTTGGTGTATTTGAACCATGTGCCTTTAAGTTGGCTGTGTAACACCTTATCCATTAGACCACTAGAGCTCCAAATGATTTTCGGCAATAGCAGTTAAAACTTATTAAAGAATAGTAAACTGGAGCGTGCATCAAAATTAAACTAATTTCTTGATGTTGCCAAGTTTTAAATATTAGGAAAAAATGTATAAAGGACAATATATTAAATATTTATGTCCCTCCTTACCACAAATGATTCTTTTTATTGACATAATTTTAATGAAAGTGATAAAACATTATCCTATACCTTTTCTAATTTCCTGTATCCACTCTTTCCCCAATAGATCTCAAGCTCTCTATCTCCCTCCCTTGCCATTACTCTTTCTCTAACAGTGTCTTCCTTGCTATTTACTTCCCCTATAAAGCTCAAGTCTAGGCTAAGCCATTTGTTCTGCTTTTGCCTATATTCTAAAATTAATCTCGATTTTTGCCCATCATCTACCCTTAATGTGTGCTATAGCTATTGGCGTCAACATGAGGCACTCTTCCCCTTGTAGTTTATATCAGCCTAAGTTACCCTTGATGAGAAGGATTGGCCCAGTAACTGAGTAATGGGGATAGGTGCATTGGAGACAGTGAGATTGGCTCAGGATAGGGCAGGGTTCAGAGCTATTGGGCATAGGGTTGCTCTGAGTTGCATGG